TCGCAGTGTCGGCCCCCGGAAGGCCCGTCTCGGGCTTTAGGTTCTGCAGCAGCAACCCCCTCGACACACTGTTTTCCTCCGCCTTCGCCTCCGCCTCCGCCTCCGCCTCCTCATCCTCCCCCTCCTCCCCCTTCTCCCCCCTTCTCTCCTGTGTATCCTCCTACCACCCTTCTTCCCACCACCTCGTACAATGTTCCCTTTTCCTTCTCCTCATCCCTCGTTCATCCTTCTTACCTTTCTCCTCTTCCTCCTCCTCCTCTTCCTTCCTTCCCTTTCACCTCCCAGCTTCCCTCATCCTTCTCCTCTCCTATTTCTCTCTCACCCTTTCCTATTTTTCCTCCTCCCTGCTGCCCCCCCTTCCTCATCCTCCTGTTCCTCTTCCTGCCCTTTCACACCCCACGTCTGGTCGTCGCACCGCCAGACAGACGTGTCGATAGGGTGGTCCAGGCGTTTCGCCTGAGGTTTCTGGGCCACTTGGAGGAATCGATTTTTTCTAGTAGTTATGCGAATGGAAGGCTTGCAGCATTCAACGCGCAGCTCTTGCCTAAGCGCCGCGCACATTCGTGGTACAATTCTTGACCCTTTCTTTCGCGTATCCTTACCAGCGTCACCCTGGATCCAAGTGGCTCTGAGGGATGCGCCTTGGGTATATGACGGTCTCGTCCCTCGGGTGCTATCCGACTCGGTTTGGGTAGCGCTGAGACACTTTGGATGTGCACACGCCACGCTGTCGTCCGTGTATCGTGCACTACGACGCCCTTCTACTCGATGGATCTGGGCTGACGCATCTCAGTTGTGGAAGGTTCTCCTGTCATCATGCTCCACACCCTGGATGCGCGTTCTTGCGTCGCAACTCGGATTCGCCGTCAGATTTTTCCGCTGGACTTATGTCCCCAGTCAGTCTGTGTTACCCGTCAGACTCCCTGGATCGATGTCCTCGGGAACTCTTAAATGCTGAACGGCCTTCCGCCGTGACCCTGGATCGAAGTGGCTCTGAGGGGTGCGTCTTGGGTATACGAATGTCTCGTCCCTCGGGTGCTATCCGACTCGTTTTGGGTAGCACTGAGACACTTTGGATGTGCACACGCCACGCTGTCGTCCGTGTGTCGTGCACTACGGCGCCCTTCCACTCGTTGGATCTGGGCTGACGCTCCACCTGTCAGCATGCTCCACACCCTGGATGCGCGTTCTGGCGTCGCGACTTGGTGTCGCCGTCAGGATTTTCCGCTGGACTTATGTCCCCAGTCAGTCTGTATTACCTGTCAGACTCCCTGGATCGATGTCCTCGGGAACGTTCCTTTCTGTTCGCATCTGGACTACTGGGAACGCCTCACGCGCCATTTTGGCTGCGCTTGGTCTCCTCGGTGCCTGTTCTCAGGCTCGTTGGATGCACCGTTGCATGCCCGTCCTGGGGCTGTCTCAGACTCCCTGGATTGCACGTCGGCTCTGCCGCCCTGGGCGCTGCCGCCCCCCGCCGCCTGATCCGCGGCCCCGCGCGCGTTAGGCAATTTAGTCGCGGCCGTAGCCCGCCCGCGACCCTCCGCCGCTGGCGCTTCCGCCTGCGGCTGTAAAAAAATATCCTTACCAGCGTTCTTCCTCTTTCTGACGCTGTGTGCCTCGTCTGACGTCCGCTGCGTCGCCTTCGCTCCCTCCCCCCCCCCTTGCCCCCGCTGTGGTTCGGCTGGAGTTTGGCGCCGCAAGGGCGACTTCTCCCTCCGTTCCGCCTGGTCTCCGCGCCTCTGCGTCCCCACCTGCTGGGATGCCTGTGCCGGTCACCTCTAATGAGGGTCATTTTGTCCCTGGCACGTGCACTCGCCATTGCGGCTTACGCGCTGCTTTGGCCAATTATCTACAGCATGTGCCCCAGCCGTTTATCCCGCTTCCTGACCCTTGTCTGGGAGCCGCCTTACCAGCCGCCCGTAGTCGGGGCCGACCTTTGACGCCGCCTGCGCCTTCGCTTGCGGCTGCGGAAGAAAACATCCTCACCAGCCTATTCAGCAACGATTCCTCGGAGAGTGGCCTTGATTGTGGAACAGGGACGTGCTGTGGCACAAAGGGGAGATGCCACGTTTCCCTTGCGTATCTGCACCGCTAAGCTGAAGGACCTCCCGCAGGGCCGTTGGGGCCATCTCGAAGGACATCGATCAACCAAAGGGGCGGCGTCAATTACGCCTTCGGCGTCGGAACCCGAAAACTCGTCTTTTAGGCCCTATTTGGGCGCTCTCCGGGCTCTCTTGGGGGCCGTCGGGGCTATGTTAGAACTCTTCTGGGCCCCTCCTGGGGCTCTCTTGGGCCATCTTGCCATCTTGAAGCTTCAACAACCCATCATAGGCGGAACGGCAATATGTTCAAAGCAATTGCGCAATAGCAGCATCATTGGATGTTGAAGGATTGTGGCGTCTCCGGGGCATTCTTGGGAGGCTTCGTATCTCCGTGCGGCCGCCTTGGTGGCATGTTGGAAGCCATGTTGGACCAACTCAGAGGATCCTGTGCCATCTTCGAGGCCTTGGGCCAGTTTGGATCCATCTTGAGCGCAAATGGACCCTCGAACCCCTCCGTACTCCCTGCTCCAGACCTGGGGGATGGGGTAGGGGAGTGTCAAGCTACCCTCCCGCAACAAACCGTCTCGCTCATTCCCACCCGCCCTCCCAACACATAAGGAGCACCCGAGTGTCAGCATGGACAGGGGCCGCCATCGACAACCTTCAGGAGTCAGTGCAGACCCCAGCCAGCTGCGCGAAGCCCGCCATGTGCGCCGCATGCAGGTGCGCCACATTGGGCAACATGTCGACCTCCCACCGCCCCTGGCAAAAGCCAGTGCGAAGTGACGGCGGGTTTGTTGCTTGCGGGTGTCCGCCCACGATCGCTTTGAGCTTGTTTCTGCCGGGGAGCGGGCCTGCGCGTAGCAGGCAGTATGCCGCCCCCCCCTGCCGTCCCTGGCTTAGATATATTTGTTTTCAGTTGAAAGGAGTGGTGGGCCTGCACGCAGCAGGCAGTATGCCAGCACCCCCGCTATCCCTGCCCCAAAAACGATGCAACGTGAGCGCGAGGCGTCCGCGCAAACGTCCGCGCATGATTTGGATTCTTGGGCTCACGCCGCACCGCCGACCCCTTGGGGGGCTCCTGGTAGGTCTCTCGGGGGCCTCCTTGAGGCCTCCTTGAGGCCTCTTTTGGGCCTCTGGTGGGCCTTTTGGAGCCTCTTGGGGGCTTCTTGGGGGCCTCTTGGGGCCTCCTGGAGGCTTCTTGAGGCCGAGGGCTCGAAATTTCCGTTCGGGTCCCCCGCCTGGGCCCCCTCCTGGAGCCGTCTTGGGGGCCTCTTGGGCCGTCTTGGGGCCCTCTTAGGCCGTCTTAGAGCCTTCTTGGGGGCTTCCTGGACCGTCTTCGGGCGATCTTGGAGGCCTCTTGGGCCGTCTTGGACGTTGTGAAAGCCCAAGAGGCGAATCTGCTAAAATCATACGTTTTCCTGAGGGAATGGGGCGATTTTTGCTTCTGGGGGCCCTCTTGGGACGCTCCTTGGGGGTCTCTTGGTGCATCTCGGGGGCCTCTTGGGCCGTCTGGGGGCCATCTTGGGCGTCTTGGAACGATCCATCTTCGACTCGGGGCCCTCTTGGACCATCTTGTGGGCCTCTTGGGGCCCTTATGTTCGTCGTGAGGCCCGTGACGCGTTCAGCTGGGGCCGGCAGGACCCCCCCCCCTCCAAAACGACCGGACCGGGCCCTGGGCGGAGGGGTTTGGGGAGAGGCGGATTCCGGTGCAAGTTTGCTGCAAGGGATGGTCGGGGGGTGTTGACATTGCACACAGCAGGCGACCTGCTGCCCCCCCGCCTTCCCAGTCGAAAACCAATACGAAGTGATCGCGGGGCGTCCGCGCGTGATCCAGATTTTGGTGCAAAGAGTACTTTCACTGGATGGTGCTGGTGGGGTATTACGACCCGTTGTAAATTGACCGCGTGCGCGATCTTACACCGAATAAGATTTGGAAGAAGAAGCTGTGCGCGTAACTCATGGCGGCGATGGTGCACTCACCATTGTAGTACTATTGGTTTACCAGCAAGGGGGTGAGGGGGGCAAGTGTCCGCACTAAGAGAATATGTGGCTCTTAATAAGAAGTTGGCTGTCATTAAGAAGTGGCCGTTCTGTCTCGTTTCTTCTAAGCGGTTTGTTCTTCATAAGAACTGTGGGTTCTTTCGCATGGAATCGTTTTTCATTCAAGGCGGGTGGGCTGTCTGGCGCGTTCAAAATCTCGGGGGCGGGGAGGGGAAAAGCATCGCCGTCCAACGGCGCGTTCGAAGTTCACGGATCAAGGGTCTCTTGGCGGACATATCCATTTGCGCGCGCAGTCGGTTTCTTCTCGGTTGGCCTGCGCGCATCAATCAATATGCCAGCACCCGTGTCGTCCTTGTCAGAAACCAGTGCAAAGTGGTCGCGGGGCGGTCGCGCATGCTCCAGATTGGGAGGCAAAGTGCATCTTTCCCAGACAGTGCTTGCTCGTAGGGGTTCTTATTTCTATTCCAAGAGATTGGGCCTGATAGGGGGCCACATG